CTGTCCGTGAGAGGACTCCGTTATATTTGATTGTATCTCTAACTTCTCTTTGCCTATAATGTCTGGACATGTTAGATGTTAGGCCAATGAAACATGTCTCCTTTCAAGCACCACTCTCTCGGCGGTAGGGTTTTCGAAGGTCTATGGGGTTGCAAGGTTGGGTGAATACATGCATTCTTCCTTACTGGGCATAAGTAACCATGCTTCGACGATTTCTTTCCCTCTACCGATAAAACTTAACGCTAGGTTTCACCCATACGCACAGACCAAATCTCCGAGAGAATGTTGGCAGACAGTCCTTCAATATTGATCCGAAAGTGAGAAGTAAGAATTTGCTGTAACTGCTGCTGATTTCTTTCTTTTGCCAACGACCGGATCTCATCTTTCTCTGTAAATATATTTGATGTAAGTCGCCAAAATCAATACAAAGTATTTCTTCTCAAGAAGCTGACGAATCCAGACCTGGCTTCAGAGACGATTACTCGGGTGACCATTAATTATTCATATCAGTCACACGAGTAAATTTGTTGTGTACCTTACAGCGCTTCAGCTGGTATGTTTACAGCACAATATACGAGACAGGATCAATATAGCTCGATACAAAGACTGGCTGAATTTCTATCAGATATTTCCAGTCACTTTCCCACTGGGGTAATGTAGCTTCCCTGTGCCTTTTCTATAAATACATTCATCGTAATTGTTCTGGTGAATTTATTTCTGTTCTCCCTAAACTTTATGAATAAGAGTAATGAAATTGGCAGTATTAAATCGGCATAGTGGAGTAAATGATAGTTGATCGGATTGAGGAATCAGAGAGCTGAGTTCGAATTCCAGTCGAATCTGTTCACTTACGTGCTAATAATCTTAGGGAAGATTTGAATCCTCTTCAGCTGTGGGTAAATAGCAGGACAGACCGGGTTCTATAGCCTTAGATACCAACTGATTTACTACAGAAAGAAATGGAACCTACTGCGGGAAAATCTACCTCGTCAGTCATGTATTGAAAAGATACATGATCGCCTACGCGTGTATCACGCATGGCAAATAATTGACTGAAATTCCCTTACGTGCTAATACCCTTGGGAAAGGTATGAATCCTCTTCTTCTCCCCCAACTGTTGGTAAATAGCAGAACAGGCCGTTTTGCATAGATGGCTACTAGTCTACAGCAGAAAGAATTCGCAACCTACTCCGTGGAAATATCTGCCTCGTCAGTCATCTATCAATACTTGATTGCCTAACCGTGTATCACGCATGACACATAACTAATTAGATCGGCGGCAAGATTTTACAGTTGATATGGCTAGATACAACCGTAAGTTCTACACTAACAGTTTCTTCTGTTGCACTTCTCGCCTGTGGAACTCTCTTTCGGCTTCTTATTTCCCAACTTTGATCTCAAAAATGTAAATGCAATGCCAATCGGTATCGTTTTTTTTTTCTTTTTCTCTCACCTTCAGAGCATATTTTCTCATATTCTCTGACACACAGTAACCACTTGCTTTATTGCCTTAATTGTGGCGAAATAATTAACAAAATGTTTATAGACTTCTGTGTGTATTCTGTTATTATTACAGCGTCTCGGTCATTGTACGCGCCGGCTTATTTAAGGTTAAGATCCGAATATCTTTCATACTCAAAGGTTTAAAGTGTACTGCAAAACAGGAAGTGCCAGACCCCAATAACTAGTGTATAGTACTATATTATTCTTACAAAGGACTTGTAGCATCCCACCTAATCGCCACTTATAAAAGTGTGTGTAAAATGTCTACCTCCTATAAAAGCAAATTTTGCATCTCCAGCACTAGTATATAAGAGTCTCATGTTTTGTATTAGCCACACGACTACTACACTCCCTCATAGATTAACATGACACTTGACAAATCTCAGGACTATGTGTACAATTAGAAATTGTAAAATTATAAATGCCTGAATGCAATTAATCAAACATTTCACGGTTGTATATGAGAAAATTAACATCCTTGAAAATAGATAATCGAGAGAATGCGAACGAATTACTTTATTTCTATTTTATTTTATTCTTATTCTATGTTATCTCATTTTAATTTTATATTTATTTTATCTTTTATTTATATTTATATTTTTAATTTTTATTTAATTTTATTTTTATTTATATTTTATTTTTTATTTTTATTTTATTTTATTTTTTACTTCAATTTATTTTATTTTCTATTTTAATTTTATTTTTTGCATCTTATTTTATTTTACTTCTATTTTTATTTTTATTTTTTATTTTATCTTATTTTATTTTTATTTTATTCTTTTCTTTTTTTTATTTTTAATTTAATTTTATTTTTTTCATAGCACCACTTCCGATACGTTTTCAAATTCAAACATCAAATGCTTTCATGCGTTTAATCTCGGCTTTGATGGAAAACAGTAATTTTTGAATCTTTTCCTTTGTCCTCTCTCACTTCTTTAAATAACGATCGCATTCATACTCATGCTTTATCTCATCTATGTATATAAATATATACTTATCCGCAAATACGTGACCACCTTATGACAATTAACATTAGTTAAACACAACAAAATAATAAAAAGATAATCTTAGCTATGGTAAATTTAACATGTTTAATGCAAAAATAAGCAAAATCCTTAAAAGATAAAATACGTTTTTCTTTTTTGTTTTTTAGAGAAATAAAGGGTTCAGTTCGACATTCCAACCACTTGAAGAAGGCCGAAGCGTACAACGGCCGAAACGTTGTAATAAATATAACGACAAAAATGAGGACAATAGTCCGAATAATGTAAATAGTGTGAAGGAAGTTTGTTTGTTTGTTTTTTTTATTTAAAACCAGCAGACTGATATCTGGGACAGATTCGGATGCTGACTGGTTGTAGGCAAATTATACTCGCGAATGGTGGACTTTATTTTGAAGAATAAATGTCCGTGGTGCTACATAAAGTTTGTTGTTTTATTTTCGCTTCATAGGTGAGTCAGAATTTTCTGGGCAACCTAATATATCATCATTTTATTTAGAAGATCTATGTTCTTCGATTGCTCCCTTGAGTAACATCAACAGCCTGCGGGCCCTTTATCATCAGTAGGTCTTCTCGATATACAAAGCAGGAAGTTTTTTTTTCAATTATGAGTACACAATAAATATGGCTTTTTATAGTAATATATATATATATATATATATATATATATATATATATATATATATATATATATATATATTTATATTATATATATATATATATATATATATATATATTTATATATTTTTTTTACATCTTTCGTTAAATATAGCGGATGAGAAAAATTTTATTATTTGACTTATAATACTGAGCGTTTTGAGAGAAATGGTTACCAGCATTAATATTACAATGAGTAAACATTGTAGAATAGACAAAATAAGCTCAAATGTTCAGGAGACCGTGTGAAACAAAGGTTTAATTGTATTAACTTATTATTATGCAATATATAATAAAACACTTCAGGAAGAGAACCCTTCGAAATACAGATAGTGTCCCACAACGTTTTGTTAAAATGTATATATATATATATATATACATATATATATATATTAATAAAACATGAAAATAAATATTAATAAAAGATGAAAAAACAAAAAGAATAAATAATACAAATTGAAAATGAAAAACAATTAAGATAAATTAACCAAAACAAACAAATAAATAAATAAATAAACAAACAAGCCACTCTCCCAAAATAACCGCCAGAATATATTACCCAAAACTCAACAATTACACATATCTATAAACAGTCGAGAAAAAATTCAACATTCACGGCCTGACGATTGCGTCCAGCATCGAACAGCCTGTCGTCTCTCAGTGTTGACTACAAGTTCCTTTTTTTATGTGAGTTCATTTAGAGTCCTTTTCTTACCATCACTTTTCTTAGTATATATCCCACACTGTGATAATCGAATACGAGGAATGGGGAAATGTTGTAAGTGCCCGGGGTTAAATTTACTGTAGACGACATTACGATCAAAGCACTCTCTAGACATTTTCGTCGTAGTGATTTTTTCTCCTTTGATCACAGTTGCATTTTCTATGTTAATGTTGTGGTCAGTTTCGTTACGATGGGCAACAAACGCATTTGATGTATTGTTTTGTAAAATACCTCTTTTGTGTTCATATAAACTTTCATTGGAATTCCTTGAGGTTCCTTCTATGTATTTTTTTCGTGACAATTATTACAGGCAATCGAGTAAATTCTTTCTTCATGTGGAAAGCTTATTTCCAGTTTTAGATGTGATACACTTTGTCATACATTTTCCCCAATAATGTTCTTGATGTATAAAAAATATATAACGTTATCTTTTATAACCGAAGTCTGTTAAAATGGGTCTACTTTCTCGGCATTCAATCATGGACCCAAGCGTTACAATATATATATATATAAAGACATTTTTCTATTAATACATTCTTTTTATAGATACAAATATTTAAGTAATTGGTCTGTTTATAATAAACAGTATTAACAACATTTACCGGCCTAAATGTCCGAGAAAATGTCATAGAAAATATGCGTCCTTAAATATTTGTATCTATAAAAAAATGTATAAACATAAAAATGTCTTAAAATAATTGTCGGACGTTGTCCATATCATAATGTGTGACGTCATTTGTTTACATTTGGATACGCATCAAGCAGATATGAATGTACGTGAGAAAATCATAGAAACTTGTAGTTTAAAAACAGTAAAATCGACTGTGCTAACCGAAACGCACCTCTGTACCCAAATCAATAAAAGCTCGTCAGGCTATATGACGGCTCCGTATAGGATACAGGTTCGATTCCTGTCGGAGGACGCGTATATTCTATGACAATTTCTCGGATATTCAGGCCGGTAAATGTTATTAATAATGTTTATTATAAACAGAGCATTTACTTAAATATTTGTATTTATAAAAAGAATATATAAAAAATATCTCAAAATGTCGGACTTTGTCATTCATTTTTATTTTCATTTTATATATATATATATATATATATATATATAT